TCCTTTTGAACATCATTGGATGTGTACTTAGCAACCCTTGGAGCATTTTTTAAGATAAGCTTATGAACTTTATCATTGTAAGATCCAAAGAATTTCAGTATTTCAATGAAATTTTCTCTATTTTTTGAGGATGGACTTTCATCATCACCTCTAAATGCACAAGCTTGAAAAGTTAACTATTTAACACAATCTATATAAGTTTTGAGCCTAAGCCGATTATTCAAGATCTCTTATGATGCTTACCTTTTGATAAGCCTATCAATATGTTGGGATTTTTTCAATAAACCCTCACAAGATTTTACAGCAACATTAGGTGGGGAATTTGGATTTTTTCCAACATGATTCAAAAGTGGACAATTTTCTCCACTATTGACTTTCTTTCAATTTTTGAAACCCTTTTCAATAAATGTATTTGAACCTGGATGATTTGAGGTGTTTTTACCAAAAAGGTAGCATGGCAAACAAAATATAGCATCTTTGTCACAAGAATACTCCAATCAAGAAGGATATAATTCAAACCAAGAAGCTTGAAAATGACGACAGTGATCATCATCTGATAGAGGATACATCTTAAGAATGGGTTGACATGGCCCACGTTTGAGATAAGCACGACGAATTTCATCCCTTTGATTGATAGGAAATTCCCATATCAATGGTCATAACCCATGATCAGGTTCTATATGAAAAGCATCAATTTCTTCAGGATTGAGCCTTAGACGTTTTGATTCACACTGCTCTTGCTCATGAGTTGAAGTATTAAGGTTTGGTTACTCAAGTGCGGGAGAATCATTTGAGTGATTTATCTCTTTTCGTTTAAAAAATTTATCAATTGTCTTCAACTTACTCATATTTTAATCAAATCTGAAAAAAAAAATGTAATCAACATTCAATATTCTTATTTATTTATATTTAAACTTAAAAAATAAAATGTAAAACTATAAGGAATAAAATATAAATAATTAAATACGAAATACAAGATTTCACATAATAGTTAAATAATATAAATAGAAAGAAGAAGGTAAAAGAAAACTTTACCTTCTCTTAATTTTACACAATGGTTGTGACTGATCTCTGTCTTTCCATTTCTAAACTCACAAGTTCATAAATCTCTTTTGAAGAATAAAGTGTGTTTTTATGGTGAGTTACTAGAAAAGAAAAATAAAAATAAAAAGATAAAAAAGAGAAGAGAAAAAGAAAAAGAAAAAGAGAAAGAGGAGTAAAAAAACTTAAATTAGGGTAAAATTAAGTAAGTTTGTGAGGTTGTTTTATTTTTTTATTTATATTAATTATTAAATAAAAAATTTATTTTGAGTGGGCCATTAATAATATATAATAAATAAAAATTTTCAAAAAAATTTGATGGGGCCATTGATAAAATATATATTAGAAATAAATACTTTTAAAAATTTTTGGGGGGCTCTGGCTTACCCTCCGCCCTTGGGTGGAGTAAAATAATAAATAAGAGTTGATTACAAAACAATATTGATATTTGATTTTCACTAATTTGGGATCAAAATTAAGAATGGAAATGAAAATGGACAAAGTCAACAATGATATTTCTCAAAGTATTTAACCACATATCTGTAATGAAAATAAACTCATAATTTTTCAAAAAAATTTATATCTTATCACTTTTTTATCATAACTATAAATATATAAATATTCATCAATTGTGTAAGATATCCAAAACCTATAGTTGTAAATATGTATTCATTAAATGGTGATCATTGAAATATTTTTTGATTATAATTATTAGTAAGATTTAAAGCGTATTTATCAAATGATGATCATTGAAATATTTTTATTATAATTATTAGTAAGATTTATTCCGTTTATAAAAAAAATTTAATTGTATTAAATGGTTTCATTAAAAAATATTTTTTTAATTTTAATTGTGTTGTATAATTTAAAAATTAATTTTTTTAAAGTTAAATATTAATATTTTTATTTTTTTAATATTTGAAGTTAAATATTAATATTCATCAAATTTATATTCATAAACTTAATATGAAAGTGTTTTGGCTGTTCTTTGGGCGTAAGACCTTTTTTGTGGTTAACTCTATTAACTCGTAAAATGTTTTACATCTGGAATTAATTTTTCATCTTCCAAACAAGCATAAGTCCTTAAAACATTTTTTGAAAAATATTTTACTACCAAACAAACGGACCTTTAATTTTTTATTTGTTGCTCATTTTAGTTTTTGGTTTTAAAATTTAAATCTACATAATCTTCTGGACATTTTTTTGCAACACAAACCCAAATTACTACTTCTTTAAGCCTTAACTGCCTTTCAAACCCAAGTAGGTAGATTCTACAATCTTATTGGATATCACTCGCATTACAGCAAGGGAGGAAAGTTTGAGAAAGAAATGGGCTTCTCTGAGTCTGAGGAATTTTGCTATAGATTTGGAACCTTACAAGATTGTTTGATGAGTCATTTTGATGTCTGTGGAATTTATCTACAATTTAATATTCACTTGGCAGCATCTCATTGTAGGTAAATGATCCACTAGTTCGAAAGTCACAAGAAGCTTTCGTGATGGAGATGCGTGTAGCCAGAATGGTGAGAACACTTTCTTGTTGTTTACCATCATTTTCATCATCTTTTTTATCTTGATTTCAAAATTATTGCATGGAGTTGCAAGTTATGGCTAGCGACGCATGTCCACCCTTTTGGGGGGCTTAACCTTGTGGGACCAGGGTTCAAATTATGGCTCTTGCTTAAACTTGGGGGTTATCCACTACTACCATAGACAAAAAAGAAAATATTGCATCCAACCTAACTCTTTGGATGATATAGATAGAGGTCCATGGTAGAAGTGCTTTTTATCTTTTCTATGGCACAGATTTATGAATGATACATAGTCATTTTCTAGGTCATTCTCCATGATCAATTCACAAACTGCAGGTCCAAGCAGCTGATTCTTTACTTAAGTTGGCGTCTGAGCTGAGCAAATGGTAATATTTTCAGGATGTACATCTCTTAATGACCATGTGGAGCAAAGAACTGTTGAGTTTGACCAACAATAAAAAAAAAACAAACCGAATGCTGGCCAAGATTGGAGAAGTGGTAGCAACGAGCCTCAAGGAGCTTGAATCTCATTATTATTCTTCTGTATAGAGGACAACCGAACTGCTTAGCTCATAAAAACAACTTGTTGTATGTGTTAGTGTAAGCCCTGCAAGCCAATCGATTTTGTGCTTGTAAAACACTATATTAATTAGTCATATTTAATGTTAAATATATTATAGATATTTTATCTAATGTATGAGGTATTTCTTTATCTATGAGTTTATTTATAAAGAGTTATGAGAGACTTATGTAAAATAAGTCCTTGGAACATAATGGCCTTACACAGAAATTATAAAAGTTATAATTATGAGATTCTTATGCATCAAAGCCTTGCTCCTAAATATGTTCCTAGTCATTGTATTGTTAAGAATAAGGACATTGACAATGCTTAAAGGCTAGTACATGCTAAGCCTCCTTACTTTGAAAGTAAGCAATTAATCTTATAGGTTGAAGTATGTAAGATACTTGGGGTTAGTATGTGGGTGCTTGTTAAAGAATAAGTTCATTGAACATGGCTCACTATGAGAGTTCCATTTGGTATTTCACTCAAGTATCTATGAAAATACTCTCATGTGTTATTAGTATAAGTAATCTTTAGACTTGTGATACTAGGTCATCTTGTATGTGAATTGTCATGCTTTGATTTCACCTCTACAAGTTTAGAGGTAAATAAATGCTTAAACATGGTGCTTTTGGTTATGGCATAAGCATGCGAAGATGAATGAATAGTCTAGAGAGGATTCATCACCCCAAGTGTTTGAAGAGGACATATCTTATTTGCTCCTAACTTATATTGATTAAAAGTCCTTGGCCAAGACAATCTTGGTAGGTCAGTATAGAAGTTGCAAGACTAATATGGATAAGTTAAAATGCAGACACCGAGCTACGCTTTCTATCTATTTGGATATATGATGAAAGGATAGAGCTACACTAAGATACTGTACATTAAAAGGTTAGTTAAATCATATTGACTCTTCTAACATTTGAATGGTCATGATGTATTGTTAGATACCACTTATGAGCTATACATATAAATATAAATTCTTAATTGAATTAATTTATATTTATTGCCGACATATTGAGAACCTAATATATCACACACATGTGTTGAGATAGGATCACAGCCAAAAAGAGAGAAACACAGAGAGAACTCAAAGTTGAGAGTTTTCTAGCATAAACTTTGGCTTAGGGATTCACAAACTCTTTTTCTACCTTTCTCTTTTTCAAATCTCGAAAGGAGTGAAAAATAGATTTGAGCAGTTACAAAGAAGGTTTCTATGAGGAGTTACTAAGGAGAAAAAAAAGCGCACTATATTAGGTGGGATAAAGTGTATAACTATAAGGAGTGTGGTGGGGTAGGAACCATTGACTTGGAAGTCAGAAATAAAGAGTTGTTAAATAAATGGAAATGGAGATACAAGAGGGAGAAAGAGAGTCTTTAGAGTGAAGTTATTGCTGAAAAAACTAAAAGGGCTCCCTTTATCTTTTTGCCAAACATGAGTGTTAATAAGAATTTTTCTAGTATGTGAAAAGGCATTATTAGTCCGTTACTCCCTACTAACAAATTTTTCCTGCAAGTGTGCCTGAATATTGGCTTTGCTGTGGGTGATGGTTCTAATATTTTCTTTTGGACCGACGAATGGATTGAAGGGACTCCTTTGTCACAAAGGTTTCTTAGAATTTTTTCACTTGCAACTAACAAGAAGGGAAAGATTGTAGAACATGGGAAATGGGAAGGGAACAAATGGGTATGGAACGTTTATTTGAGAAGGAATATTTTTGACTGGGAGCTTGAACAGTGGAGGCAAATAGGGAACCTGTTTACGAAAATCCAAATAAGTAAAGACTTCAAGGATGAAATCATGTGAAAGGGTGAACCAAGTGGTAGATATACATCAAGATCTTTCTGTAAAAATGTTATGCATGTTAATGCAGATAGAGATATGCTTTGGGGAGATGTGTGGGCAAGAGTTACGTCCCACAGGGTTGAAGCTTTTGTCTAGCAAGTTATGTATGATAAAATAGGGCTTAAAGAGGAATTGGTTAGAAAAGGCATCTTAAGAGAAAATTCTGCCTTGTGTGTTCTATGCAAAGAGGAGCATGAGACATGTGGGCACCTCCTTTTCACTTGTGTTCAATCATGAAAATTTGGTGTTGGTGGTGTGAATTGTATAAGTATCAATGGACTTCTCCAAAGGATGGTAACACATTTTTTTGTGCTTGGAATGAAAGTCAGATTAACGAGAAAAATAAGAGGGTTGGGAAAATGGCTTTGTTTTCCATTATGTGGTCAATTTGGAAGGAAAGAAATGAAATCGTGTTTAGAGGCAAAGCGTGGAAGGCTAAAAGTTGTTGGGACTTGGTTAAAATAAGGATCGTAACGTGGGCTCATGTTAAGTGGTCAAGTGAGTACAGCTTTATTATGGGAACTTTCATCTTGCTAAATAGAGTCAATGGTGTGAAACAGGTAAACAGAAGCGGAAAGGAATTGTCATAGGAAGCTCCATCACAAGAACAATTAAAATTTAACGTGGATGGAGCTGCAAAGAAGTACTGAGGGTTGCAAGAATTGGGGGTATCTTGAAGGGCAACAAAGGAGAGGCGAAAGTTATTTTCTCAAAACTAATTGGTAGGCCAGATTCCACCTTGGCAGAATTGTTGGCGGTTAAGAAAGCTTTCCTTTTATTCGCAGCCATGAAATGGAAAGGGGTCAAGGCATTGGTTATTGAAAGCGATAGCTACAATGTGGTGTCATGGATTAAAAATCATAAAAGAGCTCCCTAAAGACTAAGAAAGTGGGTGTTGTAGATTGAGAACTTAAAAAAAGAAGTGGGATCCTAGGAAATAAAGCATGTGTTTAGGGAAGCTAATCAAAAGGCTGATGCTCTCGCGGTTAAAAAGAATGGCACTGTCGATCAATTCGGTGAATGGATTGGAAGTCAATGGGACTGGTGAATTGATCTGAGAAGAAACATTTTTGGGTGGGAAGAGGAGTAGTGGTCTGCATTTACGTCATTGCTTGAGAGTCAAGTGTTGAGAAAGGGCTTTGCTGATAAATTAATATAGAAATATAATCCAAGTGGGGAGTATTTTACTAAGTCGTACTGTCGTCATATGATAGGAATGAGTCATGAGAAAGACAGCTTGTGGAGAGACTTATGGAAGGGCTTAGCTCTTTTCAAAGTTGCAATTTTTGGGTGGATGTTGATAAGAGGAAGAGTTGCTGTGAAAGAAAATTTGTTGAGTAGGGGAATTCTTAGTAGTACGACAATTGCTGTCTCATATGTAAAAGGGAGCTGGAGTCCATCGGTCACCTCCTTTTCACGTGTTTTGAGACTTGGATGCTTTGGAACTGGTGGGCGAAAAATTGGGACTGAAATGGGTGAATCATAAAGATCCCATAGTTGTTTTTCAGAGCTGGAATGGTTTTGCAAAGTGTGTGGAGAATGGGGATATATGGAGGATGGCCTTTTTTGCCATTGTTTGGTCCATTTGGTTGGCTAGGAATGACATCCTTTTCAATGGGAAACTCTGGGATCCTGAACAAGTGTATGACATCGTTAAACTTCGAGTGGCATGGTGGGCAAATGCGAAGTGGCCAAACATGAATGTTTCAGTCTTAGAGTTGACGGGAAAGCCTAGTATAGGGCTCCTACCTAAAAACACTAAGTCAGTTAAAATTGAGGGGATATGGCAGCCTCCCCCAAAAGGCTTAATCTTTCTGTTTAAATAATAAATTTAAATAAATTTGTATTTTTTAATTACGCTTAATTAAGGATATATTTATATTTTAAATGAAATGGTTAACTAATTGTCATAGGTTAAAACATTATTTGTCATTTTATATATTGCATTATGGAGAGTGAAAAATATAAAGCAATTATATCATCTCATAACACGTCATTGTCCATTATCTCATGTTATGTAAGCATCACATGATATAAAATGATAAAAGATAAAATAATAAGTAACATTTTAACCAATGATAGTTAATAAATCGATAGTTTTTTGAGTTTATTTGACATAAATATTTGATTGAATACTATAAAAAATAAAAAATTATTCAAAATTTTTTAATTATTTATAAATTTTAAAAAAGAAATAGGGAAGTACAGTTTTAATTTTTTTTTCTTGTGCCTATTTGTGATACGGACATTATCCTTTCTTCTTTTTGGTGAGTTGGGAGAATGGAGTTGTTCCTCCCCAAAGCAAATGCATGCAAAAATAAGTATTGAATTCATAGGGTTTTTTCCTTTTCATATTTATTTTTGGATAATTGTACTGAATTCATTGAGCACCGAAAGTGGAGCTCTTACTTGGGAGTTTGCAAGAGAAGAGGAAGCATGTGCTGGCGTTTGGTAATGTGCTGTGAAACCAAGCAAAGGAGCAGAGCAGTCTACAGTGAAGAGCATTGTGTTTTCTTCTTTCGCGGATCACACTCACAGGCAACCATCGTAGGGAGTGGCATTGGGCTCTGGCGTTACTAGTAATAGACCAAATGATTTTTTGGCTAAGGTCCTACCGACCTTTCCTTTTTTCCCTCCTTTCCGTAAAAGGTTGTTTTATTAATTTATTATGTTACTACTTTCTTTTTGAGGCAGGGCATTCCACGTATGATGAGTTCTGCTTCAAGTTTGTTAACACCTTTCGGCCTAGCCTGCCTTCCCTTCCATGCTTCATGTTAATCATGTACATCATCAATTTTTGTGGGGAGTTGAAGGAGAGAAAGAGAGGAAACAATATCAAGAAACGTGAAAGAGAGTTTAGAAAGAAAGTAAAAAAGTTATATCTATTTACCTTATTACATTACATTTTTTTTATATTTAATTTTAAAAATTTTATATTTATTTATTAATGAGATGATGTTTTATGGTTGATTGATACGTTGTTAATGTATCAAATGTAAATTTTATATATATTATTATTAGAGCAATCATTCTCTTCATTATAAATTTATTTCAAAAAAATATATGTTAATTATTAAATCAAAAGTCTTGATGCATCTTCGTTATAGTCAAATAAATTAATATTATATAATCTAATTGTTTTATTAAGATTCAAAAAGATTATAAATA